CCTCCGTCGAACAACCTCGTCGTTTAGGTTTCAACTAAGTAACGATCCACTCTGTCGACTCCACTAACCATGCCATCATAACCACTTCGTCGAAGCTTGACGGATCTCTCTGTCATCTCGAACCACGACCTCGTCACCGTCGTTTCGTCGATCCGGACTTCGCCTCTCCGATCAAACTCACCTCGTCACAGACGCTTCGTCGTGATCCACCTCACTCGAACCATTGTGAGACTTCGCCAGCTTAGGTCGACCTCGTTGTGTGAAGGCCTCGTCACGATTCCTTCATCGGTGGCGCGACGCAGAACGCCACCTCGCCGGAAATCTCGATCCGGTTCGCTACTTCTCTCTCGAAGATCACCTCGCCGATGCAATGGATGGATCCACGCTGATACGACGAGACAGACGACGAGGAGGCTAACAACGGTGAGGCGAGGGTGAAGTCAAAGACAGCGACGATGTTAAAGGGAGGCGACGGCGGCGCGATGAACAAAAAAAAAACCTTTTAAAAAACGTGTATTAATGAAGAGAGAAAGATAGGAGCAAGTTTTTAGCTTTTTGCTTCAAAAGAGAGAGTGGATTGGTAAAAGTAAAAAATAACAAGCAAAGGGAAGGGATTTATACTAGAAAAATCCCTGGCGGGATTTAAGGCCCGCTAACGCAGTAAGGCCATCAACTTCATCAGTCCTCTAAGTAAAAGAAAAAGACAAAAAATCTAGGAAAACACGCTGACATCGGCTCAACGCGGAATAACGAAAACTTCCTGAGTGCAGTGAAAAGACGTCCACACCTGACAACTTCGCGGTCCAACATATCGATCTCAAACTTCGGAGAACTTTTATCTCGGCATCACCGTAACTCAATACTGCCAAGCTGGAGGGCTAACTGTAGGGGTCGGATTTCACCCTTATGAGATCGAAATAGCGACGAGATCAACTCCGCAGTGTCCTAACGAATTCAGAGTGAGTCTACAAAAGCCTAGTCTGAATCTAGGCTCAAAATGATATTAAACCCATAAGCAAAATGGAATTAATGAAATTATGGGCCTAAGTTTGATATATTGATTAATGGGTCAAGCCCATTTTATTAGTTGTCCCAGATACTTAGTAAAACTATATATAACTTATTGTACTCACCCAAAAAGTGGTTCAGAACTTTTAGCCGAGAAACACTCTTGTAATCACAGTTTAACGGAAACAGCAATAAAGAAAATATATTTTTAGTCTGTGTTCTGAGTGAGTCCGCGACATAGAATTCTCTAATCCCCAAACACCCTTGACAAATTTAACTGTGCAGATCCGACTCCCACAACAACTAAATCTCATTCAAAAGAAAAGGTGTAGTTAGTATTGTGCTCGCGAAGCACCAGATTCCACCCAATTGGGCATATCCGTAATTTTCATAGATTTTGCGCTTCTTCCACCATCCCCAATTTCTTTCACTTCCCCAGAAGTTGTTCAGAAGATAATCCAAAAAGAGAAAATCACGAGAAAAAGAATTCAGAAAGATGAAGTTCGTAAATCGCGAGATCGCCTTCATTCTCGCGCTCAACATCTACATTGCGTTTTCCGTCTCGAATTTCCCTGTCTCGAATTTAGAGTATTATTAATTATATATTTTAATGGAAGTCACAATCCATTGTTATTCAGTGGTTTATTTTAAATACTCTGTTAAACTCATCCACAATAGATTGAAAAGTTGTGTAATAATCCAAGCCCAAATATTTGATCTAGAGGCTAGACAGAGAAGACGAGCGTAATTACTTATTATCCTAACCAAACTATCTCCTAATCTTCAACTACTCTTCTTTGAAATGACCATGCAGAAACAATGAAAAATTAACAACCGTAACAATTGCATGATATATTGATCTTCACAACATTACAATCGTGAATCCATACTCGACCAAACCTTCTTAAAATCTCCATTATAAAGCACACGCTCCTTAAACCTTCTCAAATTGTTTTCTTCAATGCCTCTTCCTATGCTCACTAACCTGCTAATGAGGTTTTAGTTTAGTGAGTCGCATAAATGATTTTGGTAACTAAGTTGTAATTCATTTGTCAATATTTCTTTGTTTACAACTCAATCATTTACATTTTTCCGGTTTGTATATTTGTTAAACCTCTTTATGATCAAAATTTATTGTAGTGCATAAAAAGTTCAATGTCTACATTTATATTTATCGATGCTACAATATTAACTTTCTCAAAGTCGTCACCTTAAAAGTAGAGATAACATCTATGTCTAGTGGTAGCAAACTAGCAACGTTTTTAATATGAATGTGGAACTCCAAATAATTGGAGATGTTTTAAAGGAATGTACAATGTAGATCTCCAAAGAATTTTTGAAAATGCATGGTCACGTGGAACTGCAAATTATATGTTAATATTCATATTAATATATTTATTATTTTGTTATATTTTATCTGACAATATACTAACCTATATGAGGGCATGAACATGAAGTTATCTACTTCAATACAAGTCAACAATACAATTTTCTAAGAACTTGATTTATTGTACAAGAATACTTATCATCACCATTGAATCACCACAACAATCATTTTTATCATCACTAATTCAGTGGTGATGATAATACAATTTTCTAAGAACTTGATTTATTGTACAAGTCGATAATACTTATCATCACGATAAAACTTATATGGTTTGAAAATTGCTTTTTCACTGATTCAATGGCTAAAACAGCCGCCTTTTCTTGCTAATCACCATGAAACCATAGAACGAAAAAAAGAACCTAGCTTTTCTGGATACTAAAATCGATGTCACGACCAAATTCATACATAACCGAAATCTATGTCAAGAGATCAATTTCCCGAACGAAATCATACAAAACCTATGTGTAGATTTTTCCGCAAGCAAGAACCTAAACCTGCAATCCTAAAATTTACAATCTCACGGAATTGAAATCTATCGCTTGGACCAAAACCTAAG